AACTATGCCAATGAGATCATCATGCGTACTCGAAGTGGTACATTCAAATGTATGTGGTCCATTTGAAGAACATACCATTGGTGGAAATAGATATTTTGTTTCGTTTGTCGATGAGTTCAGTCAAAAGTTGTGGATCTATGTGATCAAGAGAAAGGAAGAAGTATTAGAAATATTTAAGAGACTCAAGATACTTGTCAAAAACCAGAGTGATAAGAGGGTCAAAGTTCTGCGAACAGATGGAGATGGCGAATACACATCCAAGATGTTTGAAGATTTCTATACATAACATGGTGTCAATCATAAGGTAATTGCTCCTTATATGCTTCAACATAATGGAATTTCATAGAGAAGAAACATAACCATATTGGATATGGCGAGATGCATGCCGAAGCAAAATAATTTGCCAAAATTATTATAGGGTGAAGTTGTTTCGATTACAGTTTATATTTTGAACAGTGACCTACCAAGATATTGAAGAACAAGGTTCCTGAAGAAGTATGAAGTGGCAAACGACTATCAGTGAGTCATTTGAAGATGTTTAGCTCTATGTGTTACAAGCATGTTCTTGATGTGAGAAGAAGGAAGCTTGATGACAAGAGTGAACCTATGATTCTGGTAGGATATCATAAAACTGGTGCATATAGGCTATTCAATCTAGTTAATGAGAAGATTGTGTTGAGTCAGACATTGTGATTAATGAAAATTCTGCATAGGATTGGAATTCTAATGATGCAATTAACAAGCCATTGATGAGATATGGTTTCGAAGAAGAAATTAATGAAGTTGAAGTCGAAGAAATTGCTAATATTCCAATCAAAGTCGAAGCAGTTACTGACATTCTAGAAACAGACAAAGTCGAGGAGGCTATGGCTAAAACAAGCCAAAGACTTCAAAGAAATATAGTTCTTCTACCAAGACTTCATGATTATGAAGGGGTGGGTGATGATGAAGTCACACCATATGGAAAATTAGTTCATTTTGCTTTACTTGCAAGTGCCGAACCAATCAACCATACTGAAGCTTTGAAGATTAAACTGTGGAATTTAGTTATGGTTGAAGAGTTACAGGCAATCGAAAGAAATAATACATGAGAGTTAGTCGAATTGCTAGCATATACAAAAGTTATCAAAGTGAAATGGGTGTTCAAGTTGAAACACAATGTTGATGGATCGATAGCAAGACATAAAACAAGTTTAGTAGCTCAAGGGTTTCTTCAATGAGAAGGACTCGACTACTCTGAAGTATTTTCTCCAATAGTAAGATTAGAGTCTGTTCAACTAGTGGTGGCATTGACATGCAACCAAGGCTAGTCGACATTTCATTTATATGTGAAATCATTATTTCTGAATGGTCCTTTATACGAAGAGGTCTATCTCATACAACCGCCAAGATTTGTGATTCAGAAGGAATCGAGTAAAGTATATAAGTTGCACAAGTGCTCTATGGCCTCAAGCAGGCACCTAGGGCATGAAACAAGAAGATCGACTCATACTTAGTCGAATTAGGACTTTTCAAATGAAAATCAGAGTATGGTGTCTATGTTTAGGTGTAGCATAAAATATAACAATCATCTGCTTGTATGTTGATGACTTACTTGTAACTCGAAATAGCTTGGAGAACTTGTCGAAGTTCAAAGAGCTGATGATGAGAGAATTTAAAATGTCGGATCTAGAAAAATTATCTTATTTTCTAGGCATGGAATTTCAAATGTAGAAGCAAGGTATGGTGCTACATCAAAGGAAGTATGCCAAAGAGATACTCAAGAGATTCAAAATGGATGATTCGAATCCTATATCCTCATATGTCGAACCAAATTTGATGTTGGAAAAGAATGGAGAGGAAGACAAAGTCGATGTAACTTTGTTCAAGAAAATCGTGGGATCTCTGAGATATGTGTGTAACAGCCGGCCTGATATAGATTTCACAATCGGATTAGTGAGCAGATTCATGGATGAAACAAGAGTGTCTCACATGAAGGTTGCAAGAAGAATTCTAAGATACTTAAAAAGATCGATATACTATGGAATTCTATTTCGTCGAGATTTTAAAGGAAAAGAAGCAACAATTACTTGTTTTTTAGATGTTGATTGGCGTGGAGATAAGGAAGATCGAAGAAGTACAACTGGATATTTCTTTCAAGTATTTGGTTCCTCAATCTCATGGTGTTCGAAGAAGCAATCGGTGGTGACATTGTCATTGTGTGAAACTGAATATATAGCAGAATATTATGATGCATGTCAAGCAATTTGGATTTGATTTGTACTTGAAGAAATGGAGGTCGAAGTGAAGAAACCTCTAGTGTTGCAAATCGACAACAAGTCATCCATAAATCTGGCGAAGAGTCCAGATTTGCATGGAAGAAATAAACATATCGAAGCTAGGTTTTACTTCTTGAGGGAAAAGGTAAATCAATGTGAACTTGAAGTTAAACATTGCTCAAGTGAAGCACAAATGGCCGATATTTTCACCAAAGGATTGAAGATCGACAGATTCCTGAATTTCAGAAAGAAATTAGGAATAGTTCAGATCGACTATGATTAGCGTAGGTCCGGCAACTTAGATTATGGGAGGTATGTTGAAATATTATATTAGATTTGATTATATTTAATATTTAAATATAATTTAAGTTGTGTAAGTCCAAGCGCAATTAAGGTTGTATATAAATAGTCGTAGTGTGTATCCTTATTTTGTACAATACAATTCAAGTGAATAATATAATCCTTATTTCCTTTATTATTCTCTCTTTTTTTCCTCACTAAAAGTGCCTCACGCAGTAACAGTCACCAAGTTGTCATATGATCAACATATTGTTAACATACAAAAGTAGTATGATGAACTCACCATTAAAAATCATCTTTACAAATACGCAATGATTAGAAATAGTTGATTGATATCCATACCCGATCATTAAGAAATCAAATTTCTTGTACCATTGATGTGGTGCCTACTTAAGTTCATATAGGTTATTTTTTAGTTGACATACTAAATCTTCTTTTCCTTTGACTTTAAATTCCTCTGGTTGCTCCATGTAAGTTTCTTCTTCTAAATCACCACGAAGAAATAGAGATTTTACATCTAGCTGCTCCACGTAAAGATTCAAACTTGCAACTATACATCTATTAAAATTAGCTACCACCAAACTATCAATAATATTCTTCACTTTAAAAAAACTTCCACTTACAAAAAGTTAAAATAGTAAAAACTTATTCTCTCAAATAATTAGTCAACTTCAACCAAATGCTACCAAGTGTGAAGTTTCTATTTGACACTTTTTCAACTTTCACTTTTTCTTTAACTTCTCAATGTTACATTCACCATCTCATTCTTCCTTTAAATTAAATTAAATTAAATTTTCTTTTATATTTTTATTTCTTTTCATTTCATTATTTTATCTTTTCTATCTAATTATTTTATTTTTCTCCTAATTATTTTGAAAAAAAATATAAAAGAAAAAATTGAATTTAACTTGAAAAAAGAAGGAGATGGTGAGTGAAACTGTGGGAAGTGGATGAAAAAATGAAGTTAAAAAAGTGTTAAATAGAAACTTGACACATGATAGTATTTCGTTGAAATAGAGTAAAATAAATTTTTACTATTTTAACTTTTTGTAAGTGAATTCTTTTAAGTGAAAGCTATTATTAATAGTTAATTTTAATAGATAGTTAATTGATTTAAATTTTGAACTTTAATGTAACATTATAAATTTATCATTTTATTATTATTATTATTTTAAATAAAAAAATAAAATTACTATATATCAACAAACCCCTATTTTACCATAATTATTCATTCACCACTAATATTTCACTAGATCAATTTTAGACCAATTTTATATAATTTTAAAATTAAGAGTTGTTGTTTATTTACTTTTGTATCATTTTAAATTTATAAATTATATAAAAATAAATGTTTTATGAAATTTGTTACTATTATTAAGTACTATGTCATATAGATAAATTTTATTAGATATTATATAATATTTTTAAGTCAATTTAATTGTTGAAAATATATGTAATTTATAATTTTTTGTTTAATAAACATCATTTGTGAACTCAACCTAAGTCGCAAATAATCGAGTTATTTTAATTCGATTTTGACAAAAAAATTGTAGATAAGACGACAAATCTAACCTATTAAAATTTAAATAAATTAGATAACTGATCCAACTCTTTACACCTTTACACCCTTAGTTAAAATCATTTAGCGTGTAAAATTGAGTTTGAAATTTAAATTGATTAATCTCAAACCATCAATTAAGTTTATTTTTTGGTTTATAAATAAGTGATAATAATTATAAAAAATCCACCTATACAACTACAACTATGAGGAGGTTTTAAAGTCAATTTAAAATTAGATGTTCAACTTAACAATATTTACTAATAAATCAATGGTTAAGATTGATTATTTTTGCAAAACTTCTTGGATAGACCGAATTTAGATAGTAGGCTTTATATATTAACTTGTTGAATTGTCATTCATTTATCATTTTATTTTTATCATTTTAAGTGAAAAAACAAAATTAATACATTACTATAAACTACTATTTTATCATAATTATTCATTCACCAACAATATTATTATTAGATCAATATTAATAAATAAAAAACAGAGGACCACAAGACACACGAGCACCTCCAATAATACCTACACTTATAACCAAGCGTGGATTAAAATTCATCATTCTGATTCATATCATTCTTTCTTCACAAACAAGCAAAGCAATGAGAACATGTAGATGTAGAGCATCATCATATAATGAATGGTTTGTTAAATTAAAACACATATTCTTAAATCTTAATTAGTCATTTTAATCATAAGCAATGTCAGCACCGTTTCATACAAGGCGTGGACTAGCTTATGATTTAATCACTTTTAATCAATTTAACAAAAAAGTTTCTATAATCATTTTATATGATAACATAACATTAATTACATAATATGCACCTAAGTTCCTTCTATATAAGCAAGCTCAAACTCACTCTTATTTTTCAACACAAACAATGTTTAACAAAAATAACTTCTGCCTTTTGCTTTTGTTCTCTATTTTCTCCCTCAACTTAATCATCATCACACTAGCCTCAGACCCTGATCCAGTTCAAGACTATTGCATACCAAACCAAACATTTGAATCCATCAAAACACACCATACCTTTCACACCATTCTCCCATGCAAAAACTCCTCACAAGTCACCACCAATGACTTCATCTTCTCCAACATGAAAACATCCGGAAACTTCGCAGAAACCGGCTTATCCGTAATACCTGCAAACCCTATAAATTTTCCAGGTCTCAACACACTCGGCATGTCGTTCGCGAGAACAGATATTAATGTCGGAGGAATTAATCCACCGCATTTTCATCCAAGAGCTACGGAACTTGTTCATGTGATTCGAGGAAAAGTTTATACAGGTTTTGTTGATTCTAACAATAGGGTTTTTGCTAGAGTACTTGAACAAGGTGAGGTTATGGTTTTTCCTAGAGGACTTATTCATTTTATGATGAACGTTGGCGATGAAGTTGTTACGTTGTTTGGTAGTTTTAATAGCCAGAATCCGGGTTTGATGAAAATACCTTCTGCTGTGTTTGGTTGTGGGATTGATGAGGAGCTTTTGCATAAGGCTTTTGGTTTGAGTTCTAAACAGATTGGAACAATGAAAAGAAAATTAGATCCAAAACAAGAAAGGTAGATTAGTAGTTTATGGTAGTCATGTCGTCCATTATTACGTTTGAGTAATAGATGTAGCACCGACGCTTCAAATTAAATATATCTATCTGGTGTCTATGACGTATCAGAGGTTGTTTTTACATGTCAGTGTCGTGTTTGTGTTTGTATTAGTGTTTTATAATAGATCTTGGTGCTTATGCTTGAAAGCTTGGTTTGGAAATTCAAATTATCTATAGTCACAAATTCGTATAATCAATATACTCAAATTAGAATTATTGGATAAAGATCTAACAAAACATTCATGTATGTAATAGTCATAAGCTATCACCAAATACTGATTATTAAAAACAAAACATCACATCTTCTGTTAAATCAAAAATCGAAAGAAAATCCTGCATATTTAATCATCAAGAAGTAACTGTATTCATCTCAATGTTGCTTAAAGTTTATCATATATAACGTATTATGTATGATCTTCAGTTTCAATTCTCCGAAACGGAGATAATAAATGCCAAAGCTGACTCCGGATAGCCAACAACCAATACAGAAGCCTACTTCACACCTAAAAGTGACTTAAGGATAGTTTCACTCACACCATCGGCGTGAGGGAAGAGGTGGCCAGAACCTGGAAGTTCGTGGTAGTGAATCCACGGAAGATTTTGCACAATGTATCGTTGAAGCGTAACGGGAACCAACATATCCTCGTCTCCTTGCCAAAGATGAACGGAACCTTCGTTGTTTGGAAATGGATTTTGAATTTCCAAAGGAGTGTATTCCCATCTCCCGAATCCAATGTTTAAGTCGCGGTGGACGCTTTCATATTCTCCTTGCTGTCTTACCTGTGCCTGTGGAAGCCATATAAAAAAGCACATGTATCATGGTCAAAAACCAAGAGAGTTTGTGCAGTTGATGCGAGTTCTTCTAATATTCGCTAAAACAACCACAAACAAAATTCAAAATCTATTTTTATCAATTTAACCAATACAAACTATCAGCTAAATCACTCTATGTATTGCATCTAGAAAATAAAATCCAATTTTGTGATCATCTAAAAGCTTGATACTTACCACATAATCATCTTTATCATCCATCAACTTAATTAAAAGCTCTTTGTCTTGTTTTGAAAGCATATCTAGACTACGAGAAATCGCACTACAAATTGGGAACCATTTTTGAGTGTTCCACCAGTACGTTAGCCATGGCGCGTAGTGTGCAACACGCATAGCCCATTGGTCATGCAATTTATTTTGGCTATAGGCTTCAGTAGTCAAGTTTGCAGGAAGATCATGCCACCAGAAATTGATGACTGGCGCTAAGAGCGCTGCACCTGCTAGCCTGTAGTATTGAAAATGTTTCAATGTCAACAGAACAAAACTACGAATAAGCTAAATAAGATCGTGTTTGAGTAAACAATTTAATCAAGCAACCTGTGAGGTATGTGCTTAAGACAGTTCCAAACAACTTGTCCACCCATGGAAACACCGACCACGTAAAATTTTGACCCTAATCCCAGCTGATCAGCGAGCTCTTCTACATCCAAAGCAATGCTCTTTAATGTACGATTTGGATCGGGATCGCTCTCTCCATAACCAGGTCTATCAAAAGATACAATGTAGATCCCCAAGTCCTTAGCAACATCCTGAAAAACCTCATATTAAATATAGTATTACAAATCACGAAAGGATCTAAGGATGTTATAATAGGCAGAAGAATATGTGATATAGAAAATTACAGGGGATAGGGTGTCGGCAACCACTGTGTCATGCCTGCAACCGGAAAAACCATGAACGGAGATGATTTTATACTTTGCCTCGTCTTTAGGAACACCGTGCCCTTTGTATGCCAAATGCCTTCCATCTCTTAGTTTGATTCTTGGCGCGGTTATAGGTGGTCCATCAGGAGAGCCACATATGCTGGGAGGAGGAGGTTGGGTAGCTTGATAAGCCCATGCTAGAAACCCAATAAACAACACTGCTAATGTTGTTTTAAGTATCCCTGAAAGTTTGTAACGCCAAATTTAAAAACAGATGATACAACTTAAAACACAAAATACGGGTTATCGTCCATGCTTCAATATCAAAATACTACAACTTCATAATTAGCTTATGCTGATCTGAGCTAGGAATATGGAGCAATTAAAACAACTTTGAAGTGAGCTTCTCTCGAACAACTTATGTTGATTCTTCTGATCGATTACGTTGAAATTCACGTGTAAGTGATAAGGATCCTATGAGTGTGAGTTCCCACAGATACTACTTGTTGCGGATACTGGGAAATGCGGGAGCTACAACAGGACCAAGAACCATAAAAGACCTTGACACCGCATATTCACCAAAAACTCTAAGGCAATGGTGTACGGGACCTTTCTCTTATATATCCAACATTTCCTCTCTTTATAGTCTATGTAAGACTTAACCACTCGCACTTGAACTTCAACACTCCTCCACAAGTGTGAGTTTCCACATCTTATAATAGGATCCAACTCTCGCTCCTTCACCAAGCCGAACCAAGCTCTAATACCATTTGTTGGGTTGACCGGGGACTGTGACACCTACAACAGGTCCAGGAGAAAGGACACGTACACTCATTATCTTAAGGTTTTTGATAAATACGTGGTGTCAAGGTCTCTTATAGTCCTCAGTCTCAGCGTAGCTCTCGTATTCCCCGGTCTGCCCAACAGATTCGACCTTAACTAAAGTTCATTAATCACTTGAACCCAAGTAAAACTAGCTATAACCTCACACTAAGGCCAACAAGGATTGATCCAGTTAGTATAGATCAAAGGATTGTACTCTATAAAACACAGACACCTCGAACACTACCCCAACACTGGCACAACATATAGGTGATAATTGGAAAGACTTATGCTTTGTTCTTGACCTCTCCCTAAACTTTATCTTACCAATAACTAAACAATACTAAAAGAAAAAGAACAAACAAATTAAAAGTTGACAAACTAACCTCAATTATATAGCTACACAGCTCAATAACCCATTAAAGTTTTCACTCACAAAGCGATAAAAACAAAGCAAAAATCGAAACTTTACCAAAGAAAGAAGAAAAAAGAGAGGAAGAGCGAAGACCCACCTGAAGGAATCTGAAAAGAGGAGGATTTGTTGGCTCTCCTGGTGTGAGAACGAGCTGATGCTGCAGAAATTTTTCTGTTAATTCCAGTGGCCATTGTGAGAGAAGAGAAGAACAAAGAGAGACAGATCTAAGAGTACGAGAGATGAAAACAATACATATATACTATTCTACGTCGACCAGAACACGGCGGCGATGTAACATTTTCCTTGTCAAAAAAGGCTGTCGTTTTTGGTAGAATTCAAGTTTGGTTTGAGTGAAAAATCAAATTGTTATACTGCAAATTCAGATTATTGAAAAATGATTTTGGTGTTTAACAATTTAAATATTATTTTAAAATATTTATTATATATTTGTTCATCCAAATGAAAATTACTTTATAAAAAATAGTTATAAGAAGGGCAACAAAGGTTTCTTTATTATAAAAGCCGATCCAAAGTTTATGATAAAGTTTAATTGGAAATTTAATGGTGAGTGCTTTCGGAAATTAAATTATTAGAGATTATGATTAATCTGATCATGTATATCGTTATGAGTGTGGAGACGAATGTCAAGTAGAATGAAGTTCAGAGTGAGTATTTTCGACCTCAACGAGGGATATGATAAGGAGATCCAATTTCGCTGTATCTTGTTGTTTTATGCATGGAGAAATTGTTTCACCTTATCATGCAAGTTGTTCAAGAGAAAAAGTGGGAAGTTATGAGATTGAGCAAATAAGGTTCTTTATTGTCACATCTCATGTTTGCGGACGATTTGCTGTTAATAAGGACCGCAAAGGAGAAGCAGATGGAGTGTGTGTTGAATACACTTAACACTTTTGGATCAATGTCAGGTCAAGAGGTCAATATAGATAAAACCTATATCATGTTCTCTAACAATGTCCAGAGGAATATGCGTAACAAAGTTTTGCATTTGTCCAAGTTTCGGGAGTCACACGACATGGGGAAGTACCTTGGGATACCTCTCAAAGGCAAAGCTCTCAAAAAGCATGACTATCAATACATTTTGGATAGTATTGCTAGGAAGATGTCGAATTGGAAATCTAGAACTTTGTCCGTTGCAGGAAGAGTAATGTTAGTTAAGAGTGTAATGCAAGCGATTCCTATATATCCAATGATGTCGGATATGATTCCTAAAGGATGCATATACGAGATGAATAAACTTCAAAAAAACTTCATATGGGAAGATACCATAGAGGAAGAATTTTCACGCGGTAAACTGGGATACTATAACCAAACCGAAAGTAGTAGGTGGATAGGGTTACGTAAGTTGGAACAGATGAATGTTGTGTGTATGCTGAAACTTGTATGGAAGTTCAACAACAAGAGTGGTGATTTATGGAGTGAAGTACTCCAGAGCAAGTACAAGGTGAATAATATGGAGGACACCATTTGTAGAGGGAATGCATCAAAATTATTAAAGGACATGGTTAGATTCAACTTGAACATGAGGAAGTATGGCAGTTGAAGTGTGGGGGATAGTGTGAAGACAACAGCGTGGTCAGATTGTTGGATAGAGAAAGGCCTCATTACCGACAAACTAGAGATCAATATTCCTCATCATCTAAATAATGCAACCGTCAAGGATCTCATTACACAACGAGGGGACTGGAACTGGAACTTACTTATGTCATGGATGCCACCAAAAATCATTGAGAAGGTACACACAGTTCTCCCACATAGGGAGGAATATGGGACTGACAGTTTTCTTTTTGCAGGTTTTTTTGAATGAGGCTTCTCAGTCAAAGAAAGTTACATCATGTTAGAGAGTGATTATGACCAAACCATGATCAACCGATGGCATAATGTGTGGAGGTTGAAAGTGCAAGAGCGAGTCCATGTGTTAGTTTGGTTAATGTGCCATGATAGATTATTACACAATTACAAGTCAATTCAAGGGCTACACTACAACAAATAATATATTTCATGACGAAGCTTTCATGTCCAACAAGCTAAAACCGAGAGGATATAACCTGTGAGCGCTTTATTAATAAGATAACCAACATGTTACGTCGGTGTTATTAAAAACTGAGGTAACTCAACTATAAGTTAGCGCCTTTTATAAATTATAATCCTTAAAATAATAATAAATCTGTTAGCTCTATTTTATTTTAGAACCGAGACAATATAGCTATAAGGAACCTCGCTTCGAATCCTCATTGCCGCATTTAATACTTTTTTCAACGATTTATCACAAGAATAAGAAATAGTAGTAAAAGGAAATATTTTATTGATAATAAAAACAAAATCAACACAACAAAGAAAACTACTCAACAAATTCAAATAGTCCGCTTAACTTCAACGTCACCGCTAACTATCCCTAACTTATTGAAAAGTACATAAAAAACTCTTCCATAAGGGTTGAGGAAAGTCTTCTCCTCCCGAGAAGCCTTTATCATTTCCTTCAAGAAGTTGCAAATGGTAAGAGGAATATTAACTCTCATGTTGTAAGTGAGGAATAACAATAGATGCTTTCCATACCAAGTAAGCCTTTCCAGGTCTTTCTCTCTTGGGTGGAGATTTGACACTAGAAGTTGAAATCAAAATTTTGCTTCAAGGCATAGAGAAGTCAGACTAGAGAGATTAGTATATTTGGCATAAAGTCAGTGAATGAGGTTTGCATATAATTGGATTTATAATGTTCAACACAACTACCAAACTCTTCACAGTTGATTGTCAAAGCAATCATTGATGAAGTAATGTATAAAGGAGTGCCATTGACATAGGACTTGATGATTTTTTCATGACTAGCTGGCACAACAAACACTTTCATTCAGAACTCTTCAACGAGGTTAATGTATATGGGACCATGTAGAATGTAAAAGTAACCACTCAACTTTTGTTTGTTAACAGCTTCCATCAATTTTTTTTTTGTAAACTTTCAAAATCATTGAAATTAACATACTTTTCATTGATAACGAACAATAGATTTGCATCCATTTTTTATAAGAAAAAAAGGACTTTGAAATAAGGAAACTGAGAGTTGGTATGAGACATTGAAAATAGAAAAATACTTTGAATCAATGAGTTGGTAATGAGACGTTGAAAATAGGATAATATTTTGAATCAATGAGTTGATAATTAGACATTTAAATAGCTCAAAAGCCTCCTTGATAATCTAAAAGAGACGTTACGACTTGAATATAGCTGATCATTGCTATTCTAGTGATATAATTCCAATACATACGCGACACGTCTGTGTTCTAACTTCTTTGTTAATTGTATATAAATGTTATAACCCGTCGGTCTTCCTAAAGACCGAGGGAAAATTTAGCGTTAAAAAAATTTGAACCTTTACTTTAATTTTATTTTTTATTTTAAAAATAAATTTTTTAACCCATCGATTTTCCTAAAAAAACCGAGGAGACCTTTAGCGTTAAAATTGAGGACATTTATCAAATCCTCAATCAAATCCTTGCCGTCTGTAACACCCTCTAACCCCGCACAAATATATAGCATAACCAGAGTAGATTAACATGCATATCAAAAGAGGGCTCCACATGTACTTCACGATAATAACACAAATACATTGGTCATATTCATAACACACATTTAAAATGATGTTCCATACACTAACACATATGCATTTTGTAGCGAAATAATTCTCATTTCAAAATAATAATACTAATGATTGAAATCCTATATTGACAATCATATCATAAATCATTAGGCACTAAAGGCCAACCATCACCTAATCTCAATACAACATAAATATCCAGAGAGTATAACAACATCTCTAAAAACAAACATGAATATAACAATATAACATGAATCCAAACGTTCCCCGTGTTACATGACCAGAGTATGACACACTACCTAAATAAAACGGATAAATAAAGAACTAGCTCCTCCGACTATTCCTTGCTAGAAGTACCACCACTCTCCTCGGTACCTGAGCGATGTCGTATAAAACATCATTTGAACAAAAGGGTGAGAATAAGTAATACATAACAAATATACATCAAAATAATTCATCATACTTCACACAATCATGTCATCAACACATTACAATATAATTCACATGATTACATATACAACATTGCTCAACGATTCAAGGTTCAAAGATAATCAATCACAAAACATCATAATTGCAACATTCACACCAATATCACATATTTCACACTAATACAACATTTCACATCGACACATGTGACTCCAATACAACTCAATGCAATATACATGTGGTACCAATTATTATCCTTATTGATCATATCGGGTCCATCTCTCAGATATAACCACCAAAAAGTATGTCCTATAAGCTTCAAACTAGTCATCTAGGTTTGGGACAAGTCAATAATTCCTATGGAATTACCAAACATTGCATCTTAACAAATCATGATGCATGTGCAATCTCAACAATCATTTGAAATCAAGACCACCTCTCAATCTTAATTATACAAGCATACATCACATAATTCAACATATTTGAATTATCTTCACCAATGTACAACATACATATTTCATGTCATCAATCCCACACAATACATTCTAATAGAATTAATAATCTCAACACATCATTATAACATGTAGAAAATAAGTCCAAATCATGTTATCTTCAATCAACACCAATTCCCAACAATTACATACACAAAATTAAGTATCATATTTCCATCGAAAATTGCATCAAAACCAATCCAAAATAGATGATTAAATTCCATAAAATTCATGACAATTCATGATAAATCATATACATCCATGATCTAGAACATTTTCATAAAATATAAAGTTTGCATTCCAGATCGTGCTAAGCGGCTCCACGTGCGCTAAGCGGCCTTTGCTGAACACAGAAAAATTCTGCGAAGACAGCTTCTGCCTCATACGAATTGGGTCATTAATACTCATCCCAAACAACCATTTTTCATCATTTAAATGTATTATAACATATATCTAACATATAGTATCAATTACCAATATCAAAACATGATACAAACATCAATTTTATGATTTCACATTCAAACCCTAACATGTCAAAATCTAGAAATTGAAGAACAAATCCCTAATTTCATGTTACTACCCAGCACATACTATTACATACACCCATAAATCAATTAATATTAACCATTACCTTGGATGTAAACTCTTTCAAGGGTTATTCTTC